AGGGGTCGGCAACCTTTCAGAAGTGGTGTGCCGAGTCTTCATTTATTCACTCTAATAAATTTCGTGTGCCAGTAATACATTTTAACATTTTTAGAAGGCCTCTTTCTATAAGTCTATAATATATAACTAAACTATTGTATGTAAAGTAAATAACATTTTTAAAATGTTTAAGAAGCTTCATTTAAAATTAAATTAAAATGCAGAGACCCCCAGACCGGTGGCCAGGATCTGGGCAGTGTGAGTGCCACTGAAAATCGGCTTGTGTGTGCCACCTTTGGCACACATGCCATAGGTTGCCTATCCCTGTATTATATGATGATGTAATTAAAGATTGTGTCATAATATATAAGCACAAGGGATCTGATTTAAAGTGACATGGGCAACCTTAATTCTGGTATTTCCTAACTTTTGCGTTCTTGCCACTTTTCAGCTTTAATAGTGTTCTTTAAATATAATGTGTGTCGCTTCCTAGGCTTTGCTTTAAAAAAAAAAAAAACTGAAAAAATTGAATCCTAAGGTATCATATTGATACTCACATGGGTCATTAGGAGGGTTGTAATCTTTAGATCCACCATGCCTACCTCTGCCACTTGAATGGAGTAACTGATAGCAACAGTAGGTTGCATTCTCTATGCACCAGCACTAGAAGTAAATGGGACAGTTTGCCAGTGGGTTCACAGATATTTGCTGACAACAGAGTAATGGTGAGACTCAGGAAGCTTGGGTTCCAGTCCAAGCTCTAGAGGGGAGTGTGCTCTAATGGGCACAGACTCTTCCCCTTTGCCTCCAAACTAGAGAACTTCTGCCCTATCCCTCCAAGTATCTGTCCCAGTCCTAGCTCCTCAACTCAGTCCCATTCTTCTCATCTAGCCAGTTCCAGTTTCCACTCTTCATGCTTCTTGTCCCATTCTCCTTGACCAGCCATTCCAAGTTTCCCCTTTGTCCCCAGTCCATATTCACAGTTCCCACCCTCCTGACTCCTCATCTGATCTCTCTCAGATCCCACTAGCCTCCAGTCCCCCCTCCCTCCTGGCCCATATTCCCTGGCTCCCGGTCCCAGTCTCCTTCTTCTGCCTTCTCCTCTGATTTCAGTCACCCCCAACCCACTGCATTTGTACCAGGAAGCTTCCTCTTCCATGTGTCTGAGTGTCAGCAGGGTGTGTATTTAGAGTACAAAGACAGACAGTCTCCCTGCTTTCAGTTCCTGTCCCTGGACCAGCACAGCTCACAGTAGTCCAGAGTTGCAATTTCAAGGAAAATCCTGTGCAAACCTGGTCTGGTGCATACTCAATGCAGATGAAATCTTCAGAGAATTTAGCTGCAAAAGTCTGCAACTCTCTGAGCGTGTGCAAACAGTGAGTTTTTCAAAGGCTTATAACTTGTCCAAATTTGTGCAGATTTTCAAGGGGAAGGCAAAAGGTGCATCCCTGAGACAAAGGCCATGCCCTTGCAAATTTCAAATCCCTGCTTCAGAACATGGGGGGGGAGGCTCTAGAGTTTTTCAAAGAAAGTCACCAGAATTTTTAACATGGGCAGATCAAAATATTTTTTATCTAAAAATAACTGAACCATTTTGACTTAAATAAATACATTAAAAAAGTATATCAGCCTAACGCAGACACCTGGCATGGAAAATTTTAGCTCAACTGGTTAAAGTGTGGCAAAGTTATAAGCAACTGAAAACTGGGTTGTACAATGGGATGTGTTGGCCAACTTTAATAATAGGTGGTGCTATGAGCCCCACCCATAATCATTGTTTCTCTTTAGGCAAATGGAAATGACTACTTTCACTTAGAATTCAGTTCTTGGCCAGCCTGCCTTTAGTTCTTTTAATTTTATTTTTCTCAATGTTTTCTCATCTTGGCAAGGTAGAATTAAGTATTGTCCACTCTGATGATAGATGATTTTCGTAAGGCCCAGCTCATGGAGTCATGTGATTATGTGGAATGGTCAACATTCATTTAAACAGTAAGTTTCTGTCCCTCACAGTTGTGGAGAAAAGCTTGAAATTGTGAACCTGAAAGGCTTAAAACCATAAGGGAAACAAACTCCAACTATTTTAAAATATAATATGATGGTGGGCTGGATCAAGATTTTTTGCATGGTAGGCATCAGCAATACTGTATTAACAGTTTCCTGATTAAGGCAAGTCTTTGTTTCCTCAGTGTTATTTCTCATTATAGCTATAAACTCAGTCCTGCTATCCTTTTGTTAATGCTGTTCATATTTGTATAGAGGCAAGAGAGCTCTTTGCTTTATTGCATAATGAACTTCTATTTTAGAATTTCATTCTCCTCACAAAACTCAACCTTTGTCATGAAGAAGAGATTGTATTTTCATTTTATTACAATTGTATTGTCCTCTCTGTTCTTTTCTGTTCATTACATGCATCCGGCTAATCTCATCTGAAAGAAAAAATATATATTGAAACACAGGCTTTTATTTGTTTTAAGTTTTAATTTGCTCAAAGAGAGATTTAATCTTGAAATGAACTCTATCAAACTGTATATGCAGGATCAAATCCACAGTGATTCATTTAATAGAACACCCTATTCACCGCAGTGGCTTGGTATCCACTGTGAAACTACATTTCTGTAATTAGCTGTTATAACAGGGCCCTTTCCTTGCAGGAATAAGAAGAGAGCCTGCAAACACATTTTATGGGAAACCAAGATTAATATTCTGTCACCTGAATGACAGACTTCTCTAATTATTCTCCTGTTAATAAACCATGATGAAAAGGTGAACAATGTACCTTGGAACTGGATATGTACGAAAGAAATGGAGCTAAACCTCTTTAGGCACAGACTAATAGCTCAGTTGAATTAGCCTTCTAAATGTCTTATTTGTAGATTTCAAGGCCCAACGGGACCACTGTGATCATCTAGTCCAGGGGTCGGCAACGTTCGGCACGCGGCTCGCCAGGGTAAGCACCCTAGCGGACCGGGCCAGTTTATTTACCTGCTGACGTGGCAGGTTCGGCCGATCGCGGCCCCCACTGGCCGCAGTTCACCGTCCCAGGCCAATGGGGACGGCAGGAAGCAGCGGCCAGCACATCCCTCAGCCCACGCCGCTTCCTGCCGCCCCCATTGGCTCGGGACGGCAAACCGCGGTGAGTGGGGGCCACGATCAGCCGAACCTGCCACGTCAGCAGGTAAATAAACTGGTCCGGTCAGCTAGGGTGCTTACCCTGGCGAGCCGCGTGCCAAACGTTGCCGACCCCTGATCTAGTCTGAGCTCCTGTATAACACAAGCCATAGAACTTCCCCACAAAACTTCCTTAGAGTTTCTGCAATTTCATTTTGCAAAGTAAAAATCTGTTAAGTTATACAATCACAGTTTCTGACTAAATAATGTGACGCATCAGTATTCAAATGTCACATGAGAAGTCGTACTTTGTACAGTTCATCGTAATGCTTAGGAATACTTTTTGAGACCCATGATTCTCTTAACTGGGTTTTTTGTTGGGGAGATCTACTAGTCCTGTAAAATAGGAATAGATACTTAGGACCAGTTCTTCAAAGGGCTTCTACTTGTGTAAATAATTTGCATGTACACAAGTGATTTTGCGCACACTGAAGATAGCATTTATGCACACACAACCCGTCTGTAAAAGGTATTCTGATTATCTGAATAGCATGGAATTCATGGATTTTGTTCATATAATTGGGAGTGCAGATAATCAAGAAGGCAGGAGCCATTCTGCCATTCAGCAGCGAGGTGGCCTCCTCCCACAGCTGAGGGCTCAACCTCCTCCTCGCAGTCCTGACCACGCCTTTCTGCACTGCCTTGCTTGCTCACTCCCATGACAGCAGGGCTGCAGAAGGCTCCCTGTACTGCCGTAGGGCCAGTGACACCTGATTCCCGCAGGCACAAGGTGCAGGGAGGAGGCTGTGGTCCTGGTGGGGCAGAGCAGACACATCAGCCTTTGACCATTCTTTTTAATGACACATTTGGTCCACTCAGGGGATTGTTGCCCAGCTACCCAAGTCCATTAGTCATCCCTGAGACCAAACGTAATCTTTCCCCCCTCACTGGGTAGCCATGCATAGTATAGAGGGAAACTGAGGCACACATGGGCTCATAAAAATATTACAAAAAACTCCCACTTTGTCACAGCACTTTTAGAACAGTAGTTTCAGATCACTTAATCTGGAAAATCGTAACCTGGATCAACTTTCAAGTGCAGACAAATCCTAAGAGAATTGTTTCCTTTTTTTGTAAAACTGTATCTTAGCATTAGCCAGACAGAGTAAAATATTGTCTCCCTTTTAAAATTCACCTTATTTAAACTCTCCTAGACTGACGCATTGGACAAGCTTTCAGGGAAAAAATAGTCAGTTTCCAGGATCTTCCTTTAATTTCTCCCAGTTCTATTGGGAAATAACTTTGTCAGCTTATGAACTTGGGTCTTACCCTTCCAGGCTCACAAGAAAAATAGACAAATTATAGAATAAGCCCAAAACTTAGTTAGTGGTTACATATTCAAAACAATGTACATATACCAGAGCCCTAAGAAATCGTTGAGAGACCTCTCTCATACCTCTGAGGGCATAATTCATATGGGGCACATTCTGCAGAAATGCATCCTGTGCAGTCCCATTGAATTCAGTGGGGCCATGCTGAGTGTAAGAATTAACACTATGGCCCTGATCCAGTATAGTGCTTAAAGCATGTGCTTGACTTTAGTAGTCCTATCAACTTTAGAACTCAAAGTAATCCCATTGAAGTCAAACATGTACTTAGCTGGATAAGGACCTAAATCCACAAAGACCCAAATAAATCTACTTTAATAAAAGAATAGGTGTGAGGAAGGAGAAATTTGTCTCTTCTTCAAGGGGGGTTGAAGAAAGGAATGATTCAAGGCATGGCGGTGTGAGTAGTAGGCTTGGAAGAGATCTTTGTTCCCAGGGAGTATTTTTGTTTTGTTTTGTGCTATTGTATGAAAAAAAACAAAACGAGTAGGGGGGGAAATAGTTGAACTTCCTATTTGTACTCACTCATCGACTCTGTCAATTTGGCCATCTCTTTCTCTCTTTTGTGCTTCTCCTAGAGACAAAATAAAAACAAACATACATATATATAAAATACACTTGACGGGAGGTGGTGCTATATGGGATATTGTCATCTGAATCACTTCTTTGTATATATTTCCTAAATAAAGTTGGAATGATGAGTGATCAAATTTTTTGAACAGGAAAATCCTCCAGATACTTCTACAGTGTTTTGTTCTAATTTTTCCGTTAAATGGGCCCTACCTTAGGGAGCTCTTATAGTGCTTGAATTGTGTTTGTGAAGTATGAGATGCAAATGTGTGTAGATAGAGGCACTGAACTTCTTCAATCAAAGACGGTGGAGGAGGAAACTGCTCTTTCTTTTCCACACTGCACACTACAATGCTTTGTTAAGACATTTCAGTTCTAGTGAACCCCCTCAGATGACGCTTTAGATAAAGAAATGCTAGTGTAGGGATCAGTGAATTTCAAAGAGAGGTTAGGTAGCTTGAGTGAATATCAGACCATTGGAAATAAACACTGAATGGAACAGATCAAGTCAGTTCATTTATCACTATGGTACACAAGGATGCATAGTCTCCACCTAACCATGCACTTGTGCTCTTGTGCTGTTTGTTTGCATCAAAAATACTATACAAGCTTAAATAAAAAACTTCCTAAAATCTGTTTCCTTGTTCTAGTCACAATGTTTGTTGGGTCTACTGCTGCTAAGCCTCTCATTGCTAAGGCCTGATCCAAAGCCAATTGAATTCAATAGACTCCCACTGACTGACAGTGGGCTGTAGTTTGGGCCCTAGCACAGCATAGTTTGTTATGCAGACTTGCCCTGGTCAGACCAGTGAGGGCCTGGTCTGTTCTGCTGGTAGTTTGGGGTTTGGTGGCTCTCTCTGTTGCAAGATGTATGCAGACTCTCAGGTAGTTAACAAGGCAGGATTCAAATAATCCTGGGGCTCTAGGCATGTCCCAGGTTGGGACCTTGTCCTGATGCGTGTCCCCCAAATTCCTTCAGACCCCACAGCCTCACCCCTGTGTGGGGTAGCAGTAGTTGAGCCTCTCCCATCTGCTAGGAGATGAGGTAGTGTCTGTGATCCCCTTCCTCCCATGTACCCAGATGACACCTGAGCTAGAAGGTGGGGTTAGTGGGTTACAGATGGCTGTAATAAGCCATAAATCAGTGTCTTTATCAAGACCATGATTTTTAGTGTCTAGCAAAGTTATGAATTTAAGCTCCCAGGCTCCCTTAGGTAGGAGGTGGTACAGAGCTGCCACCCCAGGTGTAGCACCAGGGAGATTAACTCTCACTCAGTCTGTCCCTTGTTTGCACCAGTATTAGGCTGGCACAGAATGATCCTGTGACATTGCACTCTATGATTTTATGAAAATATGCTAATGTAACTGGAATATGCTTCATGCAAAAGGTCTCTTGTAAGGTAGCATTACAAAGCTTATAATCTACTGAGTGTGATCATCCTATTTGTATAAATGTACCACTCTTCTATCTGAAACTCAAAATATGAAATATAACTTTGAGGGCCTATTGTAATTATGCAAAGTGTGGGCCGCTAATGGTGGTTTGGAATCTTGAAGATTCCCATTAACCAGGACAATTGACTGCAGATGGCTCTGTTTTACCTGTAAGTCTTCCTGTATACGTGTGTGCTGGCAAGTGGGTAATGAAGTCTTACAGTGACATGTTTCAGAGTAGCAGCCGTGTTAGTCTGTATCCGCAAAAAGAACAGGAGTACTTGTGGCACCTTAGAGACTAACAAATTTATTAGAGCATAAGCTTTCGTGGACTACAGCCCACTTCTTCGGATGCATATAGAGTGGAATAAATATTGAGGATATATATACACACACACATTAATGGACACAAATCTGACATCAAGAATCAAAATACTCAAAAACCAGTGGGAGAACACTTTAACCTTTCTGGTCATTCAATGTCAGCCCTGCGGGTGGCTGTCTTACAACAGAAACTTCAAAAACAGACTCCAACGAGAGACT